ATCTCGTCGTCGACGAGTCCTTTCAGCTTCCTCTCTTGGTGTCATGGGGACGTCATCGTCCTGGTCCACAACATAGGGCGCTGCTGGCTGAGGCAAAGGGGTTATCCACCACGACATGTTGACCTTTGTGGAAGCACCATTGGATCATCGTCTGAACCATGATCGTGATCCCGATGGTGGAGACGATCAGCCACCACATTGGCGAAAAACTTCCGCCATCTGCAGCATCAGCGCTCGCCATGGCTGCGCGCTCTTCAGTCATCGCCATGGCTCCTACACTACACGCCCCGAAAACTAGCGCTCGTGGCACGGCCTTTGGGAGAGCAACTGCAGCGGCGCAGCCAGCGCTGAAGAGGATGTTCTGATTCGATGTGGCCTGGTTCGATGTGGCCTTCTTTTCTTCAACCTCTTTAATCACCTCAGCACCGCTTCGCAACAAATGCTCCTCATCAAGGTCATTGACCATGCGAATGCTCCTAGTCAAAATCAAAACTGGGTGTCCTGGCTCATTGCGGAATCGGATGATCCCACAAGACAAAAGCAAGTTCATGGGTTCCAACACCATGGATTTCGTCAAGGGGTCTGCCGTCATACTTTGTGTTGGGACCAAACAAAGTTGTCGCATGCGGCCTGAAAGCCTAGTCTCCCTCAGGGCCAAAATGTACAATCTCTGAGTCTTGTCCTGTGGCAAAGTGCGCATGCCAGTGACCAACTCAAAAACATCCTTGCAATCTCCGTAGTCGTCAATGGGGAGCTTGTCGTGGCCGTTCTCCTGAACTTTGATCAACTGCGACAAGGTAGGCTCGCCCGGCAACATGAGCTCAGCTAGGCGAACCATGCAAAGAGTGGCAGCCTCAACCGTGGCTTGTGGAATATGAAACACGTTTGGCCTTGGCTCCATAGGAAATCAAAACATGTGCCACTCCACCATGCAATGCTGCTTGCGCATCTGTGCAGGCAACTTCATATGGCTGCTCATAGCCAAAGAACTTGTCAGCAGCCATCAGCACAAGGACACTTCCTGGGCAGAGTGCCTGCCTTGAGAGGCGGATGAAGCATCATGGACTACCATGATCCGTTGATGCGAGGTCTCAAACCTTCTGAAATGCAAGCACAGGCGCTTGTCCTCCAAGGCGCGAGTCAGAATCTCATTGGCCTTCTTGATACTTGTGCTGTGGTGACCTTGCTCTGCAAGCTGGAGACGTCGGCGATGATGTCGAGCCGGGTGGAAGTGAGCCAAAGCAATGCTCCAAGAATCGACCTGAAGTGGGTCGTCTCCTCCGGTGACAGGCGCTCATCGTCTCCTTTCTTTGGCAGTTCTGATGGACGCATGCGCTCCAGGAAGTCGGTCTGCTGGATCTTGAAGCCCTGTGTGGTCTTCTCATACACGCAGCCACAGTGCGTGAAGGGCATCTGTTGACGTGTGATTCTTGAAGCGCTTGACAAAGCTGTCATGCATGTTGTCCAGCCAGGACTGCTTTCCACCAATTGCTAGATCATCGACATGGCTGGTGAGCACTCCTGCGACGCTGTCGCCGCTCTCATCTGGCTTGTCAGACTTGAACACACGCATGTTCTCGTCCATCTTTGAAGGTCGTCCTCCACATTCATGTACGAAGTCGTGGAGAGCAAACTGCCAGGCCAAAGGAGCATCATTCAAACCATACACTGGCTTGATGGCTAACAGTCCATACAAGTGCAAAGCATGCTCCGGGACCTGCAAGTTCTCGGCCTTCATCTCATTGAAATGGCGCCAGACATTCATGCGTGGAAGCACAACAACTCGACGGGTCAGTGCATGAAGTCCTCGTGGCTGGAGTGTCTTCTTGATGTCATCAAAAGTGAAGCCCTTGAGAAAAGCTCCAGCAATGTCGAGGGACTCGACCTCATAGTTCTTTCTGGCGCTGATGGACAGAACCATTCTCTGTGAGAGCCTGGTAGCCGTCGTGCTACGTGTAGCCAACTCAGACTTCTGCTCATCAAAGCAGCCTCTTGCGCAAAGCCTGGACTTGACTCGGATGCTGCCGTCTGGATAGCGCTTCCACTTGCGGACCCAGATCGCATCCACAATGATCATCGTGCTGTCCATGTTTTCAAGGCGAACGCGCTTGAATGCTCTCTCTTCAACAAATTGCTTCAGCTCTGAGAGACCTGCTGCTTCGATTAGTGGCCAAAGATCAGCCGTGAAGTCCTTCTCGTCAATGTTGTGCGAAGGCATGCTCTGGCATCGATCTTCCTCTTGGATGGCAATGTAAAGAGGATTGGCAGACTCTTCTTGTGGGGCTCGATGAAGTGATGAGAAGATGTCTTCATCGACTCCTTGGAGATGTCATATTGTGTCCTCCATTGCTCAGGGAAGCCAGCGTCGATGAGATGTTGTCGGTTGATGAGGTAGCTCACCTGCACCAAACAGTGGTCAGATCGGACCTGAACCAGATTGGTCCTCGACTTCTTTTCTGCCGGTGTATTGGACGGTGAAGGTGGTGAAGTCGGAGTTCCTGGCTCTCCTCTCTTGATGCCTTGTTGTGGATCTAGATCCATTGCTGTTGCTTCTGCGGCTGCCGTACCTGCGGCTGTCTGTGCCTGCTGCTGCGGCAGTGTGCTGGCGGTCGCTTGTGAATCTCGATCTTCCATGTTCTGGTCGATGTCCATTGTCTTGGAGACGCTGACTTCTTCTGATGGCAAAGGATTGTAGAAGTAGAAGTAGATCAAACATAGATCCTCACGGGCATAGTTGCTCACATTCTTGATCTTCAGGTGGTTGTGTGACTCATAGGTCTGAACTGCATACTGTCTGCCACCAGAAATCCAAGTCGCCAAGATGCCGGTGGTGTGTTTGGAGGCTTGAAAGAGCGAAGTCCTTTTCCCAGCACGATGCCATTGAGGGTCTTCTTGCTGAGCGACTTGGCAACTTGTTGAGCTCGATCAAGAAGATCTTGGACGTTCGGGTTCAGCCGAGGAACATGTACCCATCTCCATAGCGTAGTAGATCTTGTAGCTGGTCAAGTTCTCCGTGTATCGCATCAGGCGATGAAGGGCGTCATTGTCAGGGATCTCGACCATGAAAATGCCTTTGAAAGGTCGAATGTGTCGAAGGCCAACTAAGTAGGGTCGTCCCTGATATTGGATGACAGCTGTGCCCTCATCTGTATCCACACGAAGAAGTAGAGCTGGTCCACGCCATCCAGGATCACCAGGAAGATCACGATGGAATTCGACTTCTGATGTTCCTGGCACCAGTTGTGAGACTTCAAGCTGATGTGGTCGTGACTTAGCAGCTCTGGCCTCTCTTGTCTCTGCTACTGCTTGATGGACTTGTGCTAGTGCTGCTTGTCGGATGCGCATGGCCCGTTCAAAGACAGTCAAATCTGTCTGTGTGGGTCCTCTTGTAGCCATCGCACCATCATTCTCGATGTTGTAGAAGCCACGAGGAAGAACACCAAAGACTGCCATGCAAGGTGTCCACCCATTGTAGTTCAAGGTGATGTTTTGTGCCATGGCTGCTTCTCTAGCGATCTCTTGTGCTTCAGGTTGTAGGCCTTGTCGGATCAGCTCGGCATGCAGCTTGTTCATGGTGTGCTTGGTGAGAGCCACACGTCGTTCCACAAGACCTGTGCCAGTATGCTGAGAGGCTCCTTGTCCAGAGGTGGTTCCTCGTGGGCACCGTTCAATGTTGAGCCGTTCACATTCTGCACCCGTCTCATGGCTCATCAGGGAGGATTGTTGATCAAGCACCAACCGGCCAGGAGGACCAAAGACATAGATCCATTGGTTGAGGATGGATTCCATCAACTGCTCAGCTTCTTGTCCTGGAACCTTGTCACATGTCTTGTAGCGGGTCGCTTCGTCCAGGATGAGCAGAAATAGTTGACCATCCCATGTGAACAGGTCAATCTGTATGGTGTCTCCAAAGGTCGTTGCTCCTCCTGTCCGTGCTTGTGGTCTGTTCGGCATCCTGCCAAACTTCCGGCAGATGGCACATTCTTGCACTGATTGCGCTGCGACGCGCTCGTCGAAGAAGGTTGACAAAGTCTGAAGCGGGTGAGTGCCACAAACGTTCATGAAGACCACAGAGAAGTTGCTTGGCCTTCGCAATTTCTCCTTCTTTGATCAGCTTGGGCACTCGATGCAGGACTTGCTTCAGGCTGTAGTTGGGTCGAAGAGGCTGAAGGGGATCTTGAAGTGGTGAAAGCGCAAAATCGTCAACATTCCCCGTATCATCTTCTTTTTCAGCCTCTTCATAGGTGTGAGCCTGGCGACAGTTCAGCTTGAGCAGGGCGATCTCGAAGAGCAGGTGGACTGAGAGTGGAAGGCATGGACGGTGTCATAGGTGCAGGAGCAAGAGCCGGTGTGGCAGGACCACGCCGTGGCAACATCAACTCCAAACCATGTCACCTGCCAATCATCAATGTCCACAGCTTCGTTAATCTGTGCCACTGAAAGCTCTCGCAAATCTTGCACCGGTCCAAGAGTCCATTCCTTGGCAGTACCAACAGCTGCAAGGCGCAAATAGGCCGATGAGATGGCCAAGTCTGGTGTACAAACCCCACGCTTCCAAGGTCGAAGCTCCAAAGCGAACCTGCATGTGGTCAGAGAAGATGTACTTGGAGATCTCAAGGTCCCAGGTGTATAGGGTTCACACACCAGTGGATGTATTCCATCTTGCGCTGCACTGATTCATCTATGCACTGCTTCCTTCCAGAGCTCGATGGGCGTCTTCTTGGCTTCCTCTTTGGCCTTTCGTGCAAGCTCTCTGGGATTTGTGCCTGGAGCCCATTTGCCATGACGACATTGTCCAGGTACCAATGTATGCTCAAGACCTTTTGGATGTCGAGTATAGACAGCTGCCGTAGTCGTTCGTAGATTGCCATCTGGTCCACGACCTTGTAGATGTGCACGACGATGGCCTCTGTGTCCATTGCAACGTAGTGCAGTGTTGCGCCACTTCATGTTGCTGCCAAAGCCAGTCGCCTTCTGTATTGGATGTTGCTGCTCGTCGGTCAAACTATGCATGCACTGATCGACTCGTTGAAGAGCTCGATGACCCGGAACATGATGTAGGCGAAGTGGGCTCTCATTGTCATCTCACCACATAGCTGAACCAAGTGGCTGTTCAACATTGTACACGTGGCCATCTCTGGATTGTCCTTCTGCAGCTTCTTGAACAGTAGATATGGCTGCGTAGTCACGTAGACGATCTTCATGGCGTAGTGCCGGATGTTTGCCATTGCTGCTGATGCTCCAAGGGCTGCAGTCTGGCGCCATGTGCATGACAGCTGGGCAAAACTCTTCTCGGGCTTGGCGTATAGCATATGAAGATGACCATCATCGTTCAAATTCAAGCCATACCTGTAGTCAACAGGAAATGAAAGTTGTGTGGGCCAATTGGTCTGAGCCCAGAACGAGCGTAGAACTCCTCCGGGATCGCACGATATCTTTTCTTGAGTTTGGCCTGATCAGCATCATCTGGAAGAATGTCCTCAGAGTAACGGGGAAAATTCTCCTCGCCCTTCCAGTATGAGCCGTAGTGGTTCTCCTTCTTGCTGTCTGCATTGCAGTCAGGTGATGAGTCAGGCAAAATGCCTTGAGTGAATTCTGGTGATACTTGTGGTGATACTGTCGGCTTCTCTTCCTTCTCATAGTGCTTGGTCACTGCCGCTGTTCTTCTGCAAGTCGTCCTTGACCAAAGTTGCTGGTGAATCATCTTTCTGACGTTCGTCACTGATCTTGTCCTCAGCGAAGTGCACCTTCTTCTCCTTCTTGTCTGCATTGGGCTGATTGGAATTGCCTCGGTCACCTTCCATAGTTCTGCCTGTGCTTGGTGACTCTGTTGAGCGCAAAGCCGCAAAGCAATGATTGACCTTGACGTCGTTCCATTGCTCCATGCTCTGTTGTAGAACCTGTCGGCAGAAAAGGATGGCCTCTTGCTTCGTCTCAGCTGCAACTCTTCCTGTTACATCATGGTCCGTCGGCAGGATGTAGTGCCCTGAGTCGGTCAGCAAGAGGCGGAACATCTTGAGGGTAGGCGTTGCCTCTTCATCTTCTTCACTGCCAACGATCATCAAACCATCGCCGTTCTTGAACCAATTCATGAAGAGCTTGGCGTTCAGGCGCCGTAGGGCAGGATTGCCAACCAAGGCAGGACATAGTGAAGCTTGTCCACCAATCATCTCACCTGTGAAGACGACGTCGGAGCCACCCACACTAAAGCTCCATTGATGCCGCTAACAGGAGTCGTGCGGTCATAGACCAATTGATGTCGGAGTTCTTGCGCTGGGGGCCACAGCATTGGATCGTGTCGCTGAAGGTCTGCGCGCCGATGAGGCCAGAGGCTGCACCTGGGTGAATGATGAGGTTTGCTTGGCTTCTCTGCTTTCTCCAAGCCCTGATGGTACGTTGTCTCTTCTTGTTCAACAACTTCATCTTTCCGCTGCCAGGGTGCGTTGCTGCTGTGCTATGCATGAAGTCTTCATCGGAGGAGGAAGCAATGTTGTACTGCCCGGTCTTGGATGTGGATGCCAACAAAATGAATGGTGGGTGCTCCATCTGTGACTTCCTTTTCCGCCTCCACGATCATCTTTCATGGGACAGTCAGCTGCGTGGCGCCATCGACTGCCACAGTTGTCGCAACCATCATTGCTGCCCTTGCCTTTTCCTTTGTAGAAGTCGCCAATGGTCTCCCCTGCAGTGGATGCTTCCTGAAAAGGCGCTGCTGCTGTCGATGGAGGCTGTTCCCTCATAGAGCTGGATGGAGGTTCTTGAACTGGTGATTCATCATACCAGCAGTGCTCATCGTCCCAGAAGTAGGACTCCTCACCGATGTCTTCATCGTAGTTGTCGTAAGCATAGTCCTGCCAACCATCTCCGGGCCAATCACCATAGCCCGACCAGTTCTCATAGTATGCATCCCAGCTCTCATCATAGTCCTGCCAGGCATCGTCATCCCAGCTGTTCTGGTAGAAGGCCACGTTGTCTTCAGGCTTGTTTGGTGACAGCCTCAATGCCAAAGATCGAGCGTCGCTATAGCGTCTGTAGTCACCATGGACCTGGAGCTTGATGTCATCGATCTGCTTGGAGCTGAGGCCGGAGTTCTTGAAGAACAAGTAGAATTTCCCGACCTCATTCAGCTGCAATCCAGCTCGATCGCTTGCCTCCTCATAGCGGGTGTCAAACTCGACCGAGTACTCCGCCAGGCTGCCGCGTCCACGGACCAGCAAAAAGAAGCGATCAAGGCTCCGCGTCGCCAAGTCCTGGTCTTGTTGACCGAAAGCTTCCTTCAAGGCATTCATCAAATGCTGGATGCCACTTGGGATGTGCTCCATGAGGATCTCGCCCGTGACTGGGTCTTGGACTTGCTCTACTGAAAGACGCGCAAGAGCTGAATCTCCTTGATCGTAACCTCCTGGACCATTTGGAGGAGGTGGTCGAGGAACCTTGAGCTGGCAAGCTATTCGATGAGCTGCTCCATGTAGCCTTCCGGCTATGAGAGGTCCGACAACTTCGTCCTCTCCTGAGTACACTCTGTACCAAAGCCTCAACTTCTCCAGGTAGCTGCGAAGGCTGTAGTTGGGATCTCCTGGAATCCAACCTGGAGCAACATCTCTTCTGTACTCATTCAAGGGCAAAGCTCCGGTGGAGGAAGTAGGAGGTGCTGCCATTGCCAATGCTCCTCAAAGGATGGATGAAGTGGTGCAAACCCCTCTGTGATGATCTCACCGTCTATGGCCGTGACCAAGCCGAAGGTGCCGACAAGGAAGTGGGTGTAGTCACCTGGATCAAATCCGGTCTCCCACGCCACACTGATGTGGCTGCCGGCGTCAGCGCCGGCCCGTGCCACGAGTGCACGCGGAGCGACCGCGCGTCAGGCGCGGGAGCCGGGCAACTGAATGCCCGGCTCTGCTACCAAACTCGCTTCTTTTGGGCCCAAGGCCGGCCTGACTCTGGTGTGATTCACCTGACCTATGCAAATTGACTGAAAGATAGAAAGATAGACAGACAGACAGCCAGCCAGCCAGCCCCCCGAAGATATACCTTTTCAAGCAAAGTTTTTTTTGTCTGATACCCTTTGTCCGCCGACCCAGCAAACGGGGGGAAGGCGCCAAAGAAGACCGGTGGCCGAGCTGGCGGCATTGCACTCACCTGTTTGCCAGCCTATTTCGGTGTGATCTCATTCGGTAGCGCTGTCGCGAGGGAAGTGCTCACGCGGATACCTACGAACGCCAGGTTGGACAGAGACAAGGCCGAGCTAAACCTGCAGGTAAACTTTAACCTCTGTTGTGGCGAGGGAAATACTCACGGATACCCTTTCAAAAAGCAACGCTTGGCACTGTGTGAAATGCTCTGCAAGCTAATTTCGCCTGGGACAAGCAAGGGTCACATGTAAACCTGGAGGTAGACTTTAAGCCCGCATCAGAAAGCAACGTTTGGCCCTGGGCGAAGCGCTTTGCCATCCAATTGGTAATGCTTGCTGTGCACATGGCGAAGCCACTGCCGCTGGGGTGATACCCGGCCACATTTGTTGGGTCGAGCACGCGATCGTCCAACAACTCAGACATGCGTGGGGGCGCTCGGCCACAAACGACGCCATTGGAGATGCGGAATTTGTTACCACAGTGATCGGTTTGGCCAGTGTGGATGGAACTGCAGCAATTCTGCAAGCAGAACGAGCAAACATATAGGGATACATCTGTCCTCCTGGTCAGGGGCATGCGGCAGGATGCGCCGGTGCTGCTGTGGCATGAGCCAAAAACACATTGGGCAGGTTGGTTAATGGCAAGCTTTTGCGCGGAAGGTGGCGTTGACGCGACTGAACTGGGGGCCGTGCCGTGCCCGCCGTGTCTTCCTGCTTTTTCTTGTCCGGCGCGGCAACTGAAACAGACGCCGCGCCTGCCTCCTCATGGCATCGCCGGTGTGTGAACCTCTACAATTGCCAGGATCTAAGCCCCCTACGCTGCACCATTGGGAGGAGAAAACCTCTCTTTACACTCCCTAACAACTTTTTTGTTAACATACACACTCTTTTAACCTCCCATCCCTAGGGAACCGCGTTGGCCTGCTTAATGAGAGGCCTCTGTCAATCATAGAAACTAATTGTTAAAATGTAGAAGCCAATTGCTAAACCTCCCATCCCTTCTAACCTCACAACCCTTTTTGAACACCCCAACCATTTTGTTTAACAGCCGCTACCCGTTTTTTACCATCACCACTTCGAATATTAAAACCCCAACCATCTTTTGCCACCAAACCTCCGACCTTTTGCTTAAACCCCGCAAACCTTTTCTGAACCTCCTGCTTGTCTTTTGTCCAGTGGGGTCGGTCTGGGTCTGTGCAGCAAGAGCTTGATCGTCATATTTGGATATGATCTACAACAGAGGCTGAATGACATCGTACCAGTTGCCAACCGCGGGAATGCCAGAGCCGTCGGGGTGTGCATCAATGTGGAAGTGGTCACGGTCAGGATATACGGCGCGCACCGTGGCATCGTAAAGATGGTTGGATTGATGTTGCCAGCTACGGTAAAACCAAAGGCGTTGATCTCCGAGGGGTTTGCATTTCCATTTCTACCAAAGATGCAGCATGTATATATATATATATATTTATCTATAATATTGAGCTAGACATGCTATACACAGAATATACTGTGTATATATATATATATATCAACTTTGGACCCTCCACACTGCGCCTGCCGCCAACGAGGCCAAAAGGAGGATGAATGGCAAAATGGATCCCTGCTGGGCCTGCTGGGCAACGCCTCAACCCTCTGCAAATGCCGCTGAAAGGCTTTGGCTACTCAAAGCACAAACAGTTTCAATCATTTGTGGAAAGCACCCAAGCTGTCTCTTCCGCCGAATTGATGGCTGCCTCCATGTGGCCTTGAAAGGTCATTCAAACTGCAAAGGCCCGGGCTTCTTGACTGTGTGAATGAATATGCTTTTAGTTCTGTGCGGTTTATCTCAACCCAGCCTTCCTCCATCGTATCACAGCTCTGTGGCACTTCGTGGAAAATAAAATGTATCTATTATCTATGTTAATCATTTAAGGCTGTCGAAAGTGGAAGCGACAAGGTTGGACCAGGCTCATTGGACTTCTGCTTCGGCTTAGCTTGGGACCGCTGGACCGCTGTTTTGTAGAAACGGTTTATTTGATTCTATTTGAGTCTATCTATCTATCGGTTTGCCTCTTGTTTTGAACTCTAAAAGTCACGGACTACAAGAAGGATTCCAAGTTGGTGTCATCCCAAACAAGATGAAGGACGGAGAGAGCTGGACACGACTGAACTGAAATGACCTTAAGCTCAGTGCATTTGACTTGTGCAGCTGTCTCACTTTGCACTATCATATTTTGCACGAAAAGCCCGCAATTGGTGACCGAAGGCCACGAGAGCTGCTCTTGCTTTGACGCAAGTGATGGGCAGCAAACCCCAGAGCATTTGATCAAAGGTGTAGAAAGCAAAAGCAAATCCAGAACCCTCGATCTATAAAACACAAAATGACAAACGCAAAGCAAATAATCCAACGATCCCAAGCAAGAAGTGATTAATTATGACTGACAAACCAGGCCAACTAATCACTTCTCGGCATTTCTACCTGGCGAAACTCAGCTCCGAGGTCCCAAAGACTGACTCGCCACGCAAATCGATCAAAACCAGGCAAACAAGTGCAAACACAGCACTCAAAAGTCGTTTTATCCAAAAGCGCGCACACACCTCAACAATGTATCTGATCCGGACTTGATTTAGGTTGTACACCTTCCAGGAAGAAGTGGAGCAGCCACTTAGGAGGTTTCAATGTTGAAACCCAGAGATACTTTTCAAACACATTGCAGGTCTGCCAAGCGATTTTTAAACGCAGCTAAGCTTGGGGCAACATAGTGATTATGTTGTAGAACGCCTTCTGGTCCCTGTGCGCAAAGGCAGGATCGAGTATCATCGGGCGTGGAAAAAGAAAAGGAATCAATCCGGAAATGTTTGATCTCTCTCGCATCCTTTGGCTGTCACCGCTGCTCCTTTGACAAAGCTTGTATGCTGCCAGCCCTTGCCATATTTGCATACAGAAATGATGCAGCCCCATGACTGGCACTGCCAAGAAGTGGTGGTTGATCACTATTTATGATGGAATTGCAAAAATCTTCCGTGGGGCTTTCGCGGCCTGAACGCGAAGCATGGTCCTAAAGCCATGTCTATATAGTCAACATGAGCTGGAACAAAATGTTTGTGTCACAACATAACATCTTGCTGCATGGCCCCGCACGAGGTTGAAAGTTGTCACAGCTACTCAGGGTCACTTGCAGCATGTGCAGTTTCTGCGCGACAAGCAATATCCTAAGCGCTTAGAATAGAGTCAGGCACAACTCAGCTCAATCCTTGTGCCAGCTATGCAGCTCGGGGTATGTTGGGGTGAACCTGGACTTTAGCAGCACATTCGCGAAACTTTCGCAAAATTTCACTGGTGATTTCCCCGGAATAGGATGCGCAAACGTCTGCACAGCCCGTCAGAGCTGCGGGTCGTTGCCTCACTGTCAGGGCTGCAAGGACAAGTTGAGTTGTCAGGTTGCTAGTCTGTGACAGTGGGGACAGGAATCGGAGAATCTTTCACGCACTGTGGGCAAGGAAATCTGAAGCCTTTCAACTGAAAGAGTACCACCAGATGGCCAAGAGTCAGGCACCAAATGGTGCATCAGAGGCTTGCATGACCATGTGCACACACATGAGAAGGTGGCTAAGTCAGAGCATACGAGGACATTTCCGCCCACCGGCTGTTCTGGAAGATAGCCTTGTATTTCCTACCACTTGTCGGTCGGTAGAGAGGAACACATATGAAAGTGAAGACCTTCGCTAATCTTTCGCCGAAAAAATGGATACTTTCACGAACCGCATCGCGAATCTTTCGCAAATATTTTAACAACATCTGAAAGGCCGTATTTTAGAAAACTCCTTGCACAGGGTTTTAGATCAACTCTCAAAGTACTGGCAGTGTTAAAGGAGGCAAAAGCTTGTACTTTGGATTGCCTTGAGCAACGCCAATGTGTTGCTGTCAAGTCATCGCAAGGCCTTCTGCAGCTGACCTAAAGGAACGGTCATGGCATCCAGCCTCAAAGGCATCAACAAAAGCTTCAAACATGATAGCCGTGCTTAAAAGGTAAAGCTTATGGTTTGGTGTTTGTTTTATTTTGTTTGCTGTCAAAACGGTCACCAAGCTCAAGACTTGCATGCTCCACCAGGGTCTGGTGTCCATGTTCCTCTACCAATGACTGACCTGAAAACTTTCAATCTTCAACTCCCTTTCTCCCTTTGACATCAAAAGGGCCTGTATTAAGCACAAACCGCCCGCATCGAAGGTGCTCAGGCATAGTAAGCTCGTGTCGTAGTACCGGCCCGATATACTGTAGTGCTCAGTTAGCTCAGCTCGGGGAGGCCTATTTTTGAAGTCGCAGACCCCAAAAGTTAAAATAACCCGTAATAACCCTCAGCTTCTCACGTTTTCTCCAAAGTGCACAAAATTTGCCTGTTTCTGGGCAACATCTTCCGAACAAAGATTTAGCTTGGGCAACTTGGCCTATGGCCCCAACTTGGCTCAAGTTGGCCCATCTTCGGCTCAACTTGGGGCTACTTAACACCAACTTGCGCCAAATGGACCCCAAAATGAGCCCATGTTCCGAAGATGTTGTTTATGCACTGATGAAAAAGTCAAAGGCTGTTGGTTTAACTTGTTCATTGCTTTTCGGTCCGTGACCCCCAAAAAATCTAGCTTGAGCCCAATCGAACCCAAGGGCCTCAATTGCCCCACGTTGGGCCTAAATTGGCCCAACCTGGACCAACCTAAAGCAATTGGGGCCATTGGGGTGCAACTTGGGCCAAGTCGACCTCAACATGGACCCAACAAGTGGAACATGGTCCAGAATGGTGTTCCATATCGGCCAAGTTTGTGGCATGTTGGGTTCAACTGTGAATCAATGAATCAATCCGACGCACCATACTGATACTATCCTGGTGCGGGCAGTGAAAGACAATGTACTGTTTCTTTACTTCAGGATGTTGCTGTGTATTCAGCGGAAGCTTTTCTGCTTGTTGATCAGGAGCATCAAGCCTAGGAGCCAAACTGTCTGTGAAAACCTGACGAAGCAAATCCCGGATGACGCAACTAAGTTTCTGTACTGCCTTGAGCTGCCGAGGGCTACCTCACAGATTGACTCAATATTGTCTTTGTCACTATCTTGCGTTCATAGTTTTGAGACTTTGTGATCTTTGTGAAAGACTTACGCTTCTTCGATCTAGGTTAGACCCACCTCCGCCAGCAGGAACAAAGTTTGCCCGCTCTCAGCAATGGCTTCTGAGCAAATTTTAAAGTTATATAGTTCTTTGTTGCACTCTCAACGGCAGCTAGTACAACTCCATCATTCCGCCTACAGCGTCAAAGAAATACAAGCCCTTGCCAAAGGAGTAGCCAAGCTCAGGTGCCTTCACAAAAGGAGACCGAATGCCGGAAGTGAGGCAACATGTGGTCATGACAAATTAGAAAGGTTTTCCCACAAGTCCCACAAGTCCGAAATATGCGTGCTAGCCTCCTTGGGAGGAAGTCTAAAGCCATTTGCCAGCAAGCTGAGCCACGCAGTGAAAGATGTCCTTAGAAGTGCAAACAAAAGGTAGACCTGAGGTCAAGTCTAAGGCTATCTATTCAAGCTTGTGACCGATACCACAGTAGCAGCCGTTTTGCTGGGGCCTGGATGAATGCAAGGTGGCAGTTGCTGTGACAGAGTGCATACTACAAGCAGAAAAAAGAGACAGCTTGGAAGTGCTTGCTTGGCTGCCTTTGCCAGCCTCGTTGAGTCTGCTGGCCTCAACTTGCGATGAGGCAAAGTGAATTGACGACAAAGTCGAGCATCCGACCTGTTGATGGTGAAGACTCTCTTAAGCTTTGGCCTTGATCCATCTTGCAAAACATATCTTAAGCACCTCTCTGCACCTGGCCAAGGCTGTGGCGTGGACACACCACGCAGGTACCTCATGTGAGTGATGAGACGCGTCTTTTTCTGATGCTTCTTTTTCCGATTTGTTTGGTTTTGCATCCAAGCGAATTAGCTATAATAGCTGGACGACGAATGTCTCCGTGGCATTCTTTTCTCCGGGGTCGGTTTCACGTCGCCAAAGAGAGCGGCGTCCGAAGCACAGCCTCCTTTCCTAGATAGCTTCGTCAAACTGTGTCCACCTTCAGCCTTCTGTTGAACATTGAAAGTATTGAAGAACAGTGAAGATATAAACATTGTGCAGAACCATGTATACAATTATATATATATGTACTGAGGAAGAGGAAAGGTAGATCATAGGGGGTGAGTATACATACATTATGGGCTGTGAAACCTGAAGGTGGCATTCAGCTCAGCCTGCTCAAATGCATTCTATTCAAATGCCCGGATGTTTAAATTGTAGTTCCGAACGCACACAGCAGTTCTCTGTGCCAGCTTGCACAACGGTGTCTGAGCAACAAGCACTATTCGCGAAAACTGGGAAAGGACTTTACCAGCGTGGAAACAAGAAGAACTTTAGACCTTCTATTCTTTCTGTTCTCTTTCTTCTATTTTTTTCTGTTTCATGTTTACCAGTTGTGGCCGGCCCCTGTGTATCAAAGCAAAGCATCACGCCGTCATCTGAACAATGTCCACATACAGTGTCAGTGGCACCAATGCTGAGCCAATGACCTCTATGGTGCGAGAGGCGAATAGTTACTTATTGTTTCTACTAGCTTCTTGTTACTACTAGTAAGGCACTTGTTACTAGTAGCGATGCCCTTTGCTCCTAGTAGCGTCCTTTAATACACAATCTAAGGACTCAGGACCAAAACATTCAAAGTTTCGGCCTACCTTCTACTGATGCTGAAGAGGGAGGAACATGCCGCTCGGTGCTTGTCAGATTTGCCCAATTCAGGCAAAAGGCGATGAGCGCCCAGTCCAGTCGTGGAGAATCTTTCACCAGCTTCAGGTGTAACATTGCTGGGAAAATGATGGCCAATGGTATACCTGCAAAACTCAATCTCAATGCAATATAATATATACATAATGTCCGAGAACACAATGACATCACTCCCACTCCCAACAAAATCAGTCTGTAAGCCCAGGTACTGCAAAAGCTTCCAAGCATGGAGATAAAGTATTCCAAGTATGGCGCCATCACAAATGCAAAAGTTCCTAGGCATTTGACTGGAGAAGCGCTGTTCAGCCTGCGCGCTGAACGAGTCGTGATGCCTATATCAAGGCTGTAGGGTATTGTAAAGTGCTGTCAGCACTTGCTTGTGTGTGCGTGTGCCTTCGGGTAACGAGTCAAGACTTCAACAGAAACTGTCCTACACTCTTCTCAGTAAAACCGAGCGAAATGCAAAGCAAACTGCAAAACCAGTCCAGGATTCCCATAAGGAATGTCAGGAAAGTCCGGGACAGGTTCTTCAGCCACTTTCGTCTATATGTGGATGGACCATCATTGAACAATTTCGACTCGACAATTGTGAAGGTGGGAAATATCGCCAAAGGAAAGCCGCACGCAATTGCAAAGAAGTAAAGGATCCTTAGCAGCAACACCCCACTGCTTGTGTTTGTAAAAGCAGATAATGTCAGGCAGTCACTGTGTGCATTTCTTCTCATCAGAGTCTCTGAATAATCACACCAGATATTCCAGGGAGTTCATTGAGCACCACAGGCTTCACATCATTGCCCCAAGCACAGTAGCCAAGAATACCTTTCCAGTCGGACAAAAATTGAAACAGCGGTCAAAAGCCATCAAAGGCCTTAAAGTACAAAGCAAGGCATGCCTGTGGCAATCCGTCAAGAATAATATGACTCGGGCGGATAGCCATTCTTCGTGAAAAAAAATGCAAGTCCTGGCTAGGACTGCTAGGATGTAGAAATCAACCGTTTCCAGCCTGAAGAGTGTAGAGTGTTGTTGCACTACAGGAGGAAACTACGAAATTTTGCACAAAGGGGAAGAACTATTGAGAAAAACATCATGGTCGTCAAAGCAGACTTTTCACAATTGAGAATCGCGGGATTAGAGTAACTCCCAGAGTTACAGGAGCACTGACTTAGTGCTACCAATGGCAGGGTAAACTGCTCAGCAGCAATTGTTCAAGACAACAAAACACTGGTTGCTGCCAGGTTCGCCAAATCCCGTCAGAATGATCACAAAAAAGAGCATCATTCCTGATCCGGTCCAACTTGTGCATTCGATTCCAGGAATGATAATTAGTGGGGACACAGGCTGTAAGCTGTGTGTGGCTCAATAGGGCACACGCTTAAACCCAGCCCAAAGCTCCCACAAGCATATGAGGAAACAACTCTGGTTTCTCCATGCCCTCGCGAATCGGGATCACCAACGCAATGCCCTGGCAGGCGACATGTGTCTGTGAGCGAAGCATTCGATAGAAGAGCCTCTTTAATTTTGCTCGTCCGAGCCAGCCGGTTGCGAACCAGGTCATAATCGTGTTGTTCACTTGGACAAAGGAATGGCACGGAAGGGAAAGTAAAGATAGAAACGAATCGACCCTTCAACACGCGGTGGGCATGTTGGTTGTCACAGTAGCCAGCTCCAAAAGTCATATAGCAAGACTCAAGCCAAGAAACAAAAATGCTAAAACGGAGAAGACAAACAGAAAAACGCGAATTTTTCTAGCTATGGTCTGTATTGAAAGTTCTTCACACTCCTTCTCGGTAGTGTGAGCGCTCAATGGCTATTTTAACTCACTCTGCCACCATGGTTCATTCTGTTTCCATTATACGTTTGTCGAATTTCTCTCCCTCTAAGGAACGGGGTTCCTTGAGTCTTCAGTTGCTGTGTCTTCTGAGGTTTCAATCACATCAGAACCTTCTTTTTCTGGCTCATCATCATCTTCTTCTTCATCATCTCCAATGTAGAAGTGATCTACTCGAATTCCATGATCTTCTGCTTCACCATGTCCTTCTCGCAGGTCAAAGATGATTGGCTCACTGTTCTCAATCCTTCTGGCCACTGGTTTGGTATCTGCTGAGCTACTTTGCTGACTCACATTGGCTTGCTGTTGACCAACTGTATGAGTCTGAAGCTCCTCCTGAAGATGAATGGGCTGTATCACTTGCAACCTGTCGAAAATATATAGTTTCTCCAACAGTCTCGAGCCAGATGTCCTGGCTTCCCACTAATGTAACAAGCTGCCACACCTTTTCCGTTTTGGTCTTTACCTTTACCTTTGCCCTTTTGGACACCTTCTTTTCCTGTCCTTTCTCCTTTCCCTTTCTTTCCTTTGCCTTTGGCATCTTTACCTTTGCCCTTCTGATAGTCATTCTTGCCTTTCTAACCCTTCCTTTTGTATCTTGAGCTGGATCAACGTCCATAGGCATGGGTCCTTGATAGTCTGTACTGCTACTTGCCACCATTGAAGTAGCACACTTCTGCTATTGAACATTGTCAAAAACTCAAGTAGGATTTGAGCTGTCCACCTACACATCTCAAAAGAATGCAAGATTTCAACTCTTCTCGAATTATCGCCTTTGCTTTGACCGTCTCATCAAATACCTCTTCAGGCTTAAGAAATTGAGGTTGCAGAGCGCTGTTCATAGCAAATGCTGGCCATGTAGCGGCTGCTCCCAAGAGCGCTAATCCTCTTGCCTTCGAATTCCAACTCGTCCAGGCATCAAACCCATTGGAGTCTTCTACAGCTTCACTAATTGTAGCGCCCTGCCCCTCATCAGCGAAGCTAACAATCCATAGAGCTTGATGCACCAGGTCTTCTCTTCTGTAGTTGCCAAGTCCATGTCAAAGCTCTCATTTGGCTTATCGCAAATCTCTTTCAAGCCCTTCATGTAAGCCTCATCCACTGAGCTCAAATATTTCTAAAAATAACCGTGACCACTCTCTGAAGTCTCTTCTTCTTGTGACTTGTAGTCAGATAGATCGGGCTTTGCGATCAACTTTGACAACCTGTCGCGGTTGTTTTCTTCTCTTCAACTGCTTTCTTCACTGCCTCAGCTGCTGATGTTGTTGCTGCTGTACTCTACGCTATAACTTGACGGATGTCTCTGATTTCATCCATCCTTGTCGCGCAATAATGCCCTGACACAATGTACGGGGTACAGCGCGCAGCTCACAACAATTTGTCACCAGTCCAGCTATTTGGGTTCCAGAGGCCCCAAATCTATGGCTCGAAAACGCTCCCGGATCCCAGTGGCCTAGGGGCTTTTCTCTGGAGCTCAAAGGACGTTATTATCTTGGCCATCACTCTATTCAGCCGTATGCTGTAAATACAACAATGTATGAAAAAGCCCTTTGCAACAACATCGAACGTTATCCCCACCCCACCCCACGCTCCTCCTGCCGGATGTCTATTCAGCCATAAATTCATCTGAGACCCCATGTGTATTGATCAGAGGGTTACTGATCAAGCCATGTCTGCTCACTGTTCCTCATTCCAAAACATATGGTTTCAAAATAGAAAATACCATAAACTATCATAAAATATATATTCCTTCTAAAAAATACATTTCCATTCTTGGCTGCACCCTTTTCACTCACTTTGTCTTGGGTACTTTGTCTTTGAGGGCATTGCCTCCATGATGCCTTGCAAAGTCAAGAGAAGATCATCTTTGATGACACCAGGACTCTGCATAGCACCCTCTTCAAGTCTGAAAGGAGCATCATCTTTGACAAACTCCCACTTCCTCCACAACCAATCATGAATCTGACTGAGTTTAGATTTCCAGTCACCTGCATCATGACAGTTGAAGGATCTGCTGAAAGATTTCTGGGCATATGGTGGTGTTTGCCACCCAATGCTATCAGATGGAATCCTGAAGCTGCCAACCCATCCTTAGCCAAACAATTGTGGAGAAACCATGGGGTTCAAACAGGCACTAGTAGACTATATGGTGGATGCATATGCAAAAAGAACCCCAGGTGTAAACCTTTCCTTGGGTAAATCAACCAAAAAACAAGAGTTTTGCATTGCACACCCAGGTGTCTGTGGTCCATATGGTTGAGAACTA